TATATATATATATATATATATATTATTAAATATTGCAAACCACAAACATCTATTATTTTACATAGAAAAATGGTCCCAAACTGTTTTTTTACACATGCATATATATATTTACATTTGTGTTTTTTATTGTATTATTACATGTTTATTTCAAATTTAGTTACGTTTTTCATCCAATTTTTATATTTTATATTATTTTGCCTTTATTTTAATTTAATTTTTTAACAACAAGGCTTTTAATAGCTTTCGTTTCAGTGAACCATAATAACTCTGGTTTGCACCAAAAGTTAAATTCAGCTTAATGCATGTAAACGAAACATGAATACAGTACATAAGACGTAAGTACAGTTCATGACGCTGCACCTACAGACTTCATGAAGAGCATGTGCCGTATGTGTGTGAATCTGAAGGACGTCACCTCCTTCACGCAGCAGCTCAGAAAACCCCGGCAGAGCCGCTCACGTGAAGAGACCAGCACCAAAATCTGCCAGAGCAGCGATCAATCGCCATGAATTATTTACACACACACCCCGACCTTATTCATCATGCATTAGTGTCAACACCTCTCTCCCACAATCCTTCACTGTGAACGGCCTTCTAACGCCCCGAACTACTCCAGAAACCTCCAGGGAAACGAACACACATTCATCCAGACATCCAAACCACAAACATCTATTATTTTACATAAAAAACACACTCAAACCCTTCTCTGACCCCTAAAAGAGAACTTAAAACATTATTTACTCAATTTATGATCATTCTTACAATTAAAAACACCCTCAAAATGTCATTTCTGAAGACAATTTTGTCTGCAAACACACATTTGTAAACATATTCTTGTTTTTACACTGAGAAAATGACATTTTCTGTCCTCTAACCCACAATTTACATATTTTAATTAGTACATTATTTTACATGTTTATAAAGCATTTTCCATTGAAAGTTTCCATAATGCAGTTTGTGAGGACATTTGGTGCCCATAAATGAATTAAAAATAATTTAAGTAATTTAATAATATAAATAAAATAATTTAGAAAATATACTAATTATTAAAATTTTCATATAAAAAAATATAACAATTTAAATATAAAAATAAAAATTGTAAATAATTTATTGGTCCAATTTTGTGTAAAATGGAAAATAAGAAAAAAAAAAAGACAAAGTTAAAATATCTTATTTAAAAATTTTAAAAAGCATAAAAAAAAATTAAATAGAGAAGGCAAGTTATGAGAACATTTGGTGCCCATAAATGAATTAAGTACATTTATTAAATAAAATAATTTTAAAATATTATAATTTTTTAATATAAAATAAATATTAAAAAAATATAATTTAATATAAAAATAAAAATATATAATTAATAAAAAAATTTTTACTTTTTTTGGTCCTGCGATTTGCTGCGAAATGAAAAAAAAACTTAATTAAAACATCTTATTTAAAAATAAAAAGCATAAAAATAAAAATAGAGAAGGCAAGTCAAAAGGATGGACACAGTCTAATTATAATAATGCAATTTTTGTCTACAAACACACTTCTGTTCTTGTTTTTACACTGAGAAAACTACATTTTCTGTCCTCTAACCTTCACAAAGCATTATTTCTTATTACATTATTTAAAAGTCTATTAAGCATTTTCAATTGAAAGGTTCCATAATGCAGGTTGAAGACATAAATGAAGGCAAAACACACTCACACACACATGCGGCCTGCATGCAGCATTTAATCAATTTCAGAAAGACAGAGGCAGAGAGACAGACAGATGTGAGCCGCTATCATTCGTGAAACACAGAGACCGCACGCTCATCCCCTCCTGACCTACTGTCTGTCTGTCTGTCTCGTCCCTCCACTCATGCAGTGCTCAGACAGTGAGATGCTTACAGGCGCAGATCCTCCGGCACACCAGCTTCCTCAACATATTGTCAGGCTAATAACAATAAAATAATAAAAAAATGTTAATTAAAAAGTTAATTAAAAAAGAACCAATTTTGTGTAAAATCTCAAAAAAGAAAAATAAATGATTAAATTATTTA